TATATATATATATATAAGTATAGTGCATTGATATTAGTGTACTTATTACATAAAACACACTTGGAAAATATGTTTGGACTTCACTTAAAAAATTAATTACAGAGTATTTATTATTTTAAATATTTTTTAGCTATCTTGAGGCCCTCTTGGAAATTTGCTGAGACCCTCTAGTGGGCCCCGGCCTCCAGGTTAAAAACCACAGGTCTATTGCAAAAAAACAAAAAAGTAAACCACGAGGGCCAAGGTTGCCATTTGGAACAGGGCTTGGGATTTTATGGCCAATAAGGTCTAACTTCACTCTTCCTGTCATTTTAGGGTTTATTTCGGGTGGCCCCCTCGGCCTCCAAGCTGAAGAAACTGAAGGCATCACTGGACTGCGGGGTCATGGATGTGCAGGAGTACTCGGCCGACCCACATGCCATCGCAGGTGAGCATCTGCCTCTCTCCTCTTAGCTTTTAAAATGTCCACTGATCTACCCGCAGTGTCCTTTTAGTGGATCGCAGCTACAAAATCTCAGACCCCATGGCAGTTGGCATTAAATTCTGTCCCAGGTTAATTTGATCTCATTACTCTGGGCCTGAAGCGTGACCTAGTAGCCGTCAGGTAGGGGGCCACAGCTGACAGGCGCTACACGCTGATTGTGGCTTTTGACAGCTCATTTGTCAGGCTTCCCTTTAGTATTTCAAGCAGCGAATATCACACCTCCAGTCACGTCCTATCACTCTTTCACCGTGCCCCTGCCTCTCTCCTTCCCTCTGACCTCTTTCCTTCCTCATCTGCTTCCCTCAGGAGCCTTGAAGTCTTATCTTCGTGAACTTCCTGAACCTCTAATGACCTTTGAACTCTATGATGAATGGATTCAAGCTTCAAAGTGAGTATCGATAGTCTACCCCAACACACACTCCATTACCATTTGCCATTTTCAGATTTCACCTTTGCTCAATTCCAAAAAACACCCTGATAGTAAATGTACATCACAGAAACATCTATTTGATGTGCGTTTTCATCTGGAAGATGTATTTTTAAAGTGTTTGCTCATGTGCAGTATGTTTATAAGACATTTCCTGTGCTAAAAAACAGCTAAAATACATCTCCCAGGACGGCCAAGCTTTGTGTTCAACTGGTTTTAGCTGGTTAGACCAGCTTGAAAAGCTAAAGTGGTCAAAACCTTTCTAAAACTGGCCTGCTAAACCAGCTATGACCAGCTGTAGACATCTAGAAAAGATGTTTATGACTTAGAATATATGTAAAACTGCTTTTTTAAATATGTATATCAGCTGTTTGTACACAACCGATGTTTTGCAGATGAAGCCCTCTGTAACTCAAATCTTGGAGATTTACATGTGCTCTCTGGATAGTGAGCCGTCTACCTATCCACCTTATTTTTCAATGTGGAAGTAAGCCATTTTCTGTGAATGTGTGAGACTTTTGGTTCATTAGTCTCTGTAGGGAAATAACGAGAAGAATAACAAAAGTGCAGTAAATGGTAAAACTGTTTTCACTACAAACCAGTGTGTTCATAATTAAGATAATACATTAAAATAACATGGTAAGAAACAACAGTTTGCAATATCGAGCAGCAAAACGAACTGTTTTGTACAGCTAAAAATAGCTGGAAGTGAATGACACCGGAAGCCAGACACATTAAGTTTACAAATGGCCGCGCCCGCACTTACGGGAAAAATAAGGTGGATAGCATTTAAGACACTGAAAATTAACAGTATGCTGCTTTCTGAGATACCTTCTTACAATATCACGTAAGCTTTACAGATAATTGAATTACAATATCTTATCCTAATATTTGTGTTTGTTTGTATACGTATTAGAGTATTATGTTAGCTTAGCAACGTGCGCTAATGCTAAACTCAGTTGGAATCTCCTTTACGAAAATTAACCATGGTTTTATTATAGTAAAGGTTTAGTAACCATGGCTTTTTGGCATATTAGTTACCTTTTGTTCAACCACAGTTTTACTGTGCGTGCTTTCACATTGAGCAGCATTAACTACACAGAGCCGTTGTTCACTGATGAGTTGCGCAAAACCACATCCATATTCGCGCGATTTTTTGCGCAGCTCATCAGTGAACATCGGCTCTGTGTAGTTAATGCTGCTCAATGTGAAAGCACGCAGGTGATGGAGATTTACCGCTGATTACAGAACCGGCTTTCTGACAAGATGCGCGTTAAATATCGCATGCGATTTATCGTGCAGCCCTAATTAGAAGTAACTCACGTTCTCTCAGTAAACTACTAGTGTAATAGATTTTTATACTGAATTGTATGTAAGTGAACTTAACACTAAATGTACAGTGGAAGATTTGTCAGTAAAATCAGGCAAATGCTTATCTTTTTCTGTGTTTGTTGACAGCACTGTGGAGAAAAAAAATATCAAGTTTATTCATATTCTGTATACTGTACCTAATGCATCTCTCCCTGTGTCTTTTCTCTAGTATTCAAGATATGGATAAAAGACTCCAAGACCTTTTGTGTACATGTGAGAAACTACCAGCAGACAATCTGAACAACTTCAGGTGTGTGGCGCTTGTTATTTACTTATTGTTTGTTATTTCTCTCGAGGCTTTTGTCTTTGAATGAGTCATGAATGCAAGAGCTCATTAGAAGAGAGGAGTGTCAAATCTCTGTCATATCATGAGCGAAGCAGCAGTTCCTTCACTGACAGGAAGTGGGCATGTTTCTGAAATAATCAGAGTTCATTAGTCCTACAGAGAATATTTTTGAGTTCGGAAATGTCCTTCAGTCCAACCTGTTTAGTTTGCCAAATATACAGACGCTGTCTCTGGCAAAGACAAATTCAGCCTTTCGTTTCGCCTTGACTGATTTGGCCAAAGACTAAGCCACACAATAAATAATACATCATTAATCCAGGATTAAGTTCAAACAAAGCTTCCGTTTAAGAAAATAAGGATGCCTGTTCATATGGATTATGCTTTTGGCACGTCTTCTAGCCAAGATTTTCCAGATATATGCTGTGGGTCTTGGATGTTTGACTGCACCTGCCTTCTGTCAAACCTACTGAAATATTGATAATATACAGCGACAGGAATAGCAAATGTAAGAGTGAATGCCAGGGCAGGGCTAAACCCTTTGGTCAAACTGAGATTAAAACTGAATTTTTTATTTTTATTTTTTCAAAACAGATATTTAGTTAAGTTCTTAGCCAAACTCACGGAGCATCAAGACGCTAATAAAATGACGCCAGGTAATATTGCAATAGTTCTTGGACCCAACCTGCTGTGGACACATTCAGAAGGGTGAGTGCATGTCTTCCGTTTGGATTATTTCTTACATTTATGTGGAGAGCAGCAAATTCACGAAGCAATTTAAATGGACAGTTCACTGAAAAAATGAAAATTCTGTTATTACGTACTGTACATATGACTTATTTTTCTTCTGTGGAGCACAGTGTTGTTACTGTAAACTAAAACTAATAAAAAATAATTTTCTTGAAATAAAAGTACAATAAGATATAAATATTAGATACAAAATTTAGAATATGATAAAAATAGGAGTTCAAGAAGTGCTAAAATTGCTCAAACAGAAACAAAAAATAAAGTAAACCGTAATATACAAATATTGACCAAGAAAAATAAAAATTTGCGAAGCACATACAATTATTTAAGCTAAATTAAATCTAAAAATGTACAAATAAAAGCTAATTCAAAATAATAATGACTGCTATAATAATATATAAATAATACAAAAATAAGCATTTTTGAAGAATCCATACTACAACAGTTCATAGTGACCTTGTCTGTCAAGCTTTAAGAATGATAAAAACACACTATAAAAAGTTCATACAGATTTTGCACAATATTCAAGTCATTTGAAGTCATGCAAAGGTTTTCTATGTAAAACTGACTGATATTTGTGACCCTGCATCACAAAACCAGCCAAAAATGCATTGTATGGGTCAGAATTATTGATTTTTCTTGTATGCCAAAAATCATTAGGATATTAAGTAAATATCATGTTCCATGAAGATATTTTGTAAATGTTCTACTGTAAATATATCAAACATAAATTGATTAGTAATATGCATTGCTAAGAACTTCATTTGGACAACTTTAAAGGAGATTTTCTCTGTATTTTGCACCCTCAGATTCCAGATTTTCAAATAGCCTAGTTGTATCTCGACCAAATATTGTCCTATCATAACAAACCATACATCAATGGAAAGCTTATTTATTCAGCTTTCAGATGATGTATAAATCTCAATTTCAAAAAATTGACCCTTATGACTGGTTTTGTGGTCCAGGGTCACATTTAATGTTTTTGGAGCTCTACAGATGTGGTCACTGTGAAAATGTTGTTTTATGGAGAAGAAATACATGAGGATTGTTAAAAATGTAACCTTTTGTGTTCCACAAAAGAAAGAGTCATTCAGTTTTGGATGGACATAAGTGAATTACAATTTTAGGTATACTACTCCTTGAATATATCTAGTTGTATATTTTGACATTTGTAATGTGTAGGTCAAATGGGTCATTGATCTTCACAGGAACATGACGGAAATGATGACCACCATGTCCCTGCAAATCGTCGGCATCATCGAGCCGATCATCCAGCACGCTGACTGGTTCTTCCCTGGAGGTTCGATAAAAAGAGTCGTGAAAACATATTCGCACATACACACGAGCGTGTTCTCCTGCGAGATTTGGACTGATTTGTCTTTGCTATTCTTAGATATTGAGTTCAACCTGACAGGCAGCTACGGCAGCCCGGTCCACACCAACCACAACTACAACTACAGCTCCATGCCCTCGCCCGATATGGACCAATCAGAGCGCAAGCTGCAGCATGACCAGAGCCGACGCCCACTCAGTGTTGCTACTGACAACATGATGCTGGAATTCTACAAGAAGGATGGGTAGGTTGTTCTGCACTCTTGGCTCTGTCTGCCTCCTCCATCTCTCCTCTTTTCCTTTTCCCTCCCACACTCTTCCTTTAGCTTCTCATACCATCGCTAATCTTAAAGGGACAGTTCACTCAAAAATGTCATTTACTCATTCGTTCCAAACCTGTACGACTTTCTTTTTTCCATGAAACAAAAGGTACATTTTTGAAGAATATCCTGGCAATCCTCGCAATATGGCTTAGTGTGAATATCAAATCAAAAAGGCTGCAAATGAATTAAATACATATATGTGCTGTGGGTTTCAGAGTGAAGCACAGCACTGTTTATTTACACATGACCAGCTCACGATCCAGTGTTTTCAGCTTCTCAGAGCAGCTTGGTTCACCGTAAATGCATCTGCTCTTAGTTTGAGTCGCTTAAAATGTGCATTTGGGAACACGACATGCGTCATATTTTTGTCAATAAAAGAGATGCTTTTTGACGAGGCTTTTTTGCTGAAATAAAATGTTGATGGTTTAACGTTTGAAAAATTAAGACAGCTATAAATGTACTGTAAATGTTAATTTTATATTATTTTACTTAAATACATTATTTATTTTTATTTTACAGTAAAATATTACAATAGTAATGTTTATATTTGTAATACTTTTATTTAATAAAAATACCAATATATAATAATATTTTTTATTAGTAGTAGTAGTAGTAGTTGTATTTTATAGTAGTAGTATTTTCATATGTGCTGTATATGTAGTGTGTTTGTGTGTGTAATGATTTTTTTTTCTTTTTTTTTTTTTTTTTTTTTTCTGATTTAATCACAACTTTTTTGACCAAATTGTGCAACCCCTTTAAACAAGCACAACAAATCTGAAGCTTTAAAAAAAAATTACATTTTAAATTGCACATTTATTTAGAAAAACACAATTACATTTTCCCCCCAAGATCGTCCAGTGATTTTTATTTTTATTTTTCAAAATAATGAGGGTGACCACAAGTGTCTTATTACTTCAGAAGACTCGCTCATGAGTGGACCATTTACTGTAGATGTATTTGTAGTATACTTAGCTTGAAATAAATATATTTCAAATATTTATTTTTCACTAGGGCAGTATATTAATCTTTAATGTTCCATAGAAGAAAGAAAGTCACATGGGTTTGGATCAACATGAGAAAATGACAACAGACGTTCCTGTGAACTATCCTTTTAAATTAAACATCATTGCAGTAACAGCCTATTACTGACAGGGTTCGATAGGTGCCGCTTAAACCAATTAGCAGCGGCGGATAGCTAATGTGTTCAGCGACTAATTCACTTAGACGGGACGTCAGTCACATCGTTATCCAGTAACCTTTCAGTGTCATTTGTTCTCAATTGGAGTTGAGCTCCGGGAACATCTCAGCGACTCCCACAATCTGCCCTCATTTGAATAGAGCTGGTCTCGGGCTGATGGGCTGCCACGGTCTCTATGGTAACGTGGATGGAGTATTGAAGGAGGGCCGCGGCTCGCTTATCTTTCACTGAGGGGGCTGGATTTCTGCCGCTATCGACAGAGACACGTGGCAGATGTGCCAGGCTCTGACTCATGCCACCTGCAATGCTCCAGCAGGTGGAAAAATAGCGCATACGGAGGAGGAGATCCAGACTTCTGTTTGATAGAGTCCCACTCCAGACTAGCTTATGACAAATATTGCGTTCTGGCAAATATTTGGCAAACAATGCTGATAAATTACCACATATTAAATACAAGGCTGTGTGGAATCATATTTGCAAGTGCTTTAATGAAATGATTAATGAAAGGAGAATAGCAGCCATTATAACTGGAGGGAACATGTCCACACTACTTTTAGACGTTGTTAATTTCACTCCCCTGTAAAAAAAAATGGTGACCTGCAATTTATACCTATATGTCTACCTAATCTAAGTGCTAAAATATTATGTATTCATATATTTAGGTTGATTTAGAGATATTAAGTAATATCAGTGATATTAAGTAATATTTTTGACTTTTTTGATTATGTTTGATAAAAAAACACTTAAGTATTACAAATTTTTTTCAGTGTACACTATTTGGGAGGTTTATTTTGCTTGGCTACATTGTAGAGAAAAGTCAAAGTCAGTAAATTATAGAAGCTTGTTTCCACCACGGGGTTAAAAATATGTAAATGCAGTTTTTTTTTATCACATTTTTTACTTTTTTTCCCCTGCGATTCTGAGTTTGTCTCACAATTCTGTCTTTTGTTCTCAGAATTGTGTCAGAGAATTTTGAGGTATGAAGTTAGAATTGTGAAATATAAAGTCAAAGTTATGATATATATATATATATATATATATTAGTCAGAATTGTAAGATATAAACTGCGAGATGTAAACTGAATGTAAGTGTTTTTTTTTGTTTTTTTTTAATTCCATGGCAAAAAAAAAAAAGAATTGCAAGATGTTAACTCAAAATTCTGAGGAAAAAAAGTCAGAACCATGAGATTTAAAATCAGAATTTTGCAAAAAATACAAGTCAGAATTGTGAGAGATAAACTCACAATTATTAAAAAAAAAAAAAAAATTTCGCTAGCGAAAAGCGCTTGAGAAACAGTGTCTCTTCCATGGCTCAGTACGCTTTCAACTCATTTTTTTTAGTCTCGAGCAAGACTGTATGACATTCACATTACATGATTTGACTGATTTTTACGTAGAAAGGGCGACAGCGCACCGCATTAAAATAAATGATCATTCATGTTTTCATAACCGCTGGCCAAATTCAAAAACGAAACTAAAATTAAATCATAAAATTAAATCGTATAGGGAGGATCGGCTCTGCGTAAACTCGCAATTGCAATAAAAAAGTCAAAATTCTTAGTTACTTTCTTGCAATTCGATGTTTTTCACCTTGGTAATTTTTTTTATCCCGTGACGAAAACATGCATCTTTTACAAAATGACTTTTTTAACATAATTTTTAACAAAATTTTTATGACATTTTCTAGAGTTACTAACTTTTTTTCTTGAAGCTTTAGCTTTTAAGCATTCATATTTAATCTGATATGAATATTTCCATGACAACCAGCCATTGCTGTGTTTCCCTCACATTTCCTCATGTTAAAATGCTCCTGATGTCTGCTGTCATTTCAAACGCACTGACAAGTTTTATAGATCACATAACAATTAGAGACTCTGACCCACTGTATTTTAGGACTGATGTGTTTTGTTAAAGGGGAGGCTAAGTGTCTGATTGTTTATGTCCACAGCTCTCGGGGTAAAAGCAATTAGAGTAAATGAGGCTTAATGGTGTCGCAGCAGGCAAGAGAGCCAGCTGCTCATTTAGGCTGACATGTTCTCACCTCTGGATGGCCCTGATCTTCCAAACACTGCATGCTCTCGCCACACAGTTCTCATTTAGCTGTCCTCCCCTGTCCCCATGTCACTTACTTTTGCTTACTCTACAGACATTACTGTTAAATGTAAACTCACTGTGTTGTCTCTAAACTCATTATTTTATCCACACTTAATGCAGCATTAGGAAAATTCAAAGGTACCATTCACCTTTTCTGTTATACTGTGGCTTTGCTTTTGGTAACACTTTAATAACTTAATTAACAATCATTTAATTTCTGTATTGCTTAACAAGACAGTCAAGCATGTATGTTCAAATATAAAAACACTACCGTTCAAAAGTTTTTTTCGGGTTGTGGTCAGGTTATTTGTTTGTTTATGTATTAGATTTATTAAGCAAGAATACATTAAATAGATCAAAAGTGACATTAAAAAACATTTATAATTGTACAAAAGATTTCCATTTCGAATAAATACTGTAATATTACAAAAATGTATATATTTTAATATTACAAAAATAATATTACAGAAATATTAAGCAGCTTGACTCTTTTCAACATTGATAATAATCAGAAATGTTTTTTGAGCATCAAATCAGCATATTGACACTGAAGACTGGAGTAATGATGCTGAAAAGTCAGCTTTGCATCACAGGAATAAATTACATTTGAAAACTTTAAAATAGAAAACAGTTACTTTAAATTCTAGAAATGTTTCACAAAATTACTGTTTGTACTTTATTTTTGATCAAATAATGCAGTCTTGGTGAACATAACACACTTCTTTCATAAACATAAAAAAAAACACTTACCAACCCTAAACTTTTGAACAGTGATGTGTATTATTCAAAATTTGAATCAATCATATTCTATTGTGTAATTATATCTTGTAACAATTACAATAATTGATGTTGATTGTAATGATGCAAGTTACTATCAAGTGTTTTTTTAACCCTCTGACACATGAATTATTAAATGACAAAAACATTTTCTTTTTATAAAGAAAAATATATATTTTTTTATAATATAATCATAATTTAGAGAGTTACACACCTGGCCTCTAACAAAATAATGACCTTCACCACTTTTGAAATTGGATTAAAAAAAACACTTAAGATGTAGAGCACAGTCATATAGAATTATGGGTAATGGTTAAAGATAATCATTCAAGGTGGCTAGTTGGCATCATGCATCAGAGGGTTAACATTTCTGTAAAGTACATCTAGTTGTGTTTTCTGCAGTGGTTGTGATTGATGGTTTGCGGGTCTTTATGTGGGCAGTGTGGGTGTCAGAGTCATGGACACATCGTGGGTGAAGGGCAAAAGTTCCTCTACACTGGGCCGCAAAGCCTCATCCACGCCTCCCAGCGCACAACCGCCCGGCTCTCCTGCGGACACCCTGATCACTGAGCAGCCCGGTGAGCTGGCCACATCTCCAATCCCCACTCCCCCTCCTGGAGACAGGGGCAGGTAAAAAAAAACACACACACGATTCCCATCATCCTCTACATGTTTTCCATTGTCATTTCAATGTACTGTATGCACATTTCACAGTAGAACTTGTTGCATCAACTAACTTGAGACCTCATTGTTTTCCATTCAGCAATTAACTCTTGCTTTCCCTGCATTTGTGTATTAATGACATCATTTCCGCTGCTCTTTCATGCTTTCCTTGTTCTAACTAATGTTTTATTTTTTGTCTTTATGTATAAATAGAATTATTTATACAAATACAGTAGTGCAGTCAGTATGGCCGTGTACACACTGCAGCTAAATACGATTGTCAGTCCTCTTTTGAGTTCTTCATCCTGTATTGTACACACCGACTTCAGTTGTGTGACATCCGCATTCTGCAACCAAATTAACAGCATATACATTAAACCAAACCAAACTCAATAACTAGTTCTTGTAATGTAATTAAAAACCCATGCGAGTCTCTCTTCTTCTGATGCGAGGCAAGAAGATCTCAGGGAAAGAGGTACACTACCGTTTGAATGCTTGGGGTTAGTAAAACTTTTTCATTTCTGTTCTTTTGAACTTTGATCAAAGAATCTTGAAAAAAAATATATCATGGTTTCCACAGAAATATTAAGCGGCACTGCTGTTTCAACATTGATGGTTATAAGAAATGAGCAGCATATTAGCAGTGTTGCGAAGGTTACTTTGGATTAACGTAATTACAGATTACCCTATTTAAAATGTAATAAGTAGTGTAACTATTTCAATTACTTTATTAAAGCAGTGAAACTGATTGCATTTGATTACCTTTCTGAATTTCTTACTACTGTTTTCAACTGTTAATCATTTTCAAACATTTGTGACCCTGGAGCACAAAACCAGTCTTAAGTCGCTGGGGTATATTTGTAGCAATAGCCAAAAATACATTGTATGGGTCAAAATTATTGATTTTTCTTTTATGCCAAAAATCATTAGGATATTAAGTAAAGATCATGTTCCATGAAGATATTTTGTAAATTTCCTACCGTAAATATACCAAAACTTAATTTTTGATGAGTAATATGCATTGCTAAGAACTTCATTTGGACAACTTTAAAGGCTATTTTCTCAATATTTAGATTTTTTTGCACCTTCAGATTCCAGATTTTCAAATAGTTGTATCTCGGCCAAATATTGTCCTATCCTAACAAACCATACATCAATGGGAATCTTATGTATTCAGCTTATTTCAGAAAATTGACCCTTATGACTGGTTTTGTGGTCCAGGGTCACATATGAGGGTGAGTAAATGATGACTTCTAACTATCCTTTTAAGCACCATAAAAAAATCACAGAGCGCGTACAGTATGTTTCTCATTTCACACCCAAAACGATAATTTAGAGGATTCACTTCTGGATTTGAACGCAGTTGTCATTTTTGCAGTGTGTACAGGCCTATATGATCATTTAGTGTGGTTAAACCATCACAGTTTGGTAGGATTGGTCCCAAGAAATGTAAGACATTCTTGCTGTGGCTTCCTATTCATTCAGTTTCACTAATAATAAACCCATATGCAAAACATACATTAATGAAGTGAAGGTCACGCCATGGTTCAGTCACTGTGTTTAGGGTTTGCAATGGCTGATGATTTGACTGGCTTATCCCCCCCGCGCTATTCACCAAACTTTCTCTGACGTTTGGTTGTTCGAAGATATTTTTTTCTCTTGCCTTGGTGCAGTGCGCAGACACAAGGTCATTTTCAGTGTAATTTTCTGTCTTCTTCTTTTTAATTTCAATGCATCGCTGTGCTTTTCCTCCCAGTAGAGTCAGATGGCGCCTGTTTTTTCATTGCTAAGCTTGCTGTTTGCTAAACCTGTTGCTCATTGATGCGCGCTAAACTGGCTAAATGCTCATACCAGCTTGAGACACATGTAGACCAAAGGATCCTGAGAGTATTATCAATATTGTATAACGCTAGCGAGCCACAGCTGGAGCTAAACATCCACTTTCCTGTTGCGCTGTCATGCGTGTGCAGTTGACCAGAGCTCTCTCTCCTGTGTCCTCTTCCTCCTCCTCCTCCTCCTCCTCACTCGATATCAACTCCAACCCCAAGCCTAGCTGCCTGCACTTTCCCAAACACGGCCCCGTGTGTGACGCGCCGCATGCCGCTCCGCCTGATGCCAATGCATCGCCCCTCTACATTAAAACCCCTCTCGTGCTGACCCGCCACGACATGTCCCTCGGAAACCCCCCTAGCTTCCCCTCCTCCGCCCTCCCGCCGTGGGCCGCCTGTCCATGTGCCCGCGAGAGAGGACTCCCCAGGCTGACTAGGTAAATACCACCTGCCTGTGGCCACCCCGCCTTCGCATAACACACTGTGACGGCCATCAGGGCTCCTCACACTGTCTGACCGCTCACCTCAGATCACTCCATACTGGCTCCCACTTTTCCATCTTGTTTTTGGAACTTGCTTTGTAATGTTATTGCTTTTTCAGGCCCATCACGCAGATTCCGTAACATTCTCATTGTCCAGGGAAGCCTGAGGTTGCCTAGCAACTGAGGATGTTACTGGCGTTTAGGGAAAGTGGATCCTTCACCTAGAAATCAGTGCTGTCATTGATAGCTTTTATTAATATTTTGAATCAGTTCTTATTTTCTGCTTTTATTTTAATTTCAGTTAAAATTCAGTTTTGTAATTTTCTTGTGCTTTTAGTTAATGTGTATGTATTTTTATTTCAGTTATAGCTCTTTTAGTACATCAAGTTAAACTGAATTAAAATGTTGCTTTGGCAGCTAGCTGAAATAAAAAAAAATCAGTTTGTTTTTTTATATTTTATTTCAGTTAACATATATTTTGTTTCAATTAATGATTTTTTTTTTTAATGGTTTTAGTTTCAGTTTTAGTTTTAACCCTGGTAGAAATAAATACATTGATGGAGCTGCATATGGTGACATGAATGTATTATGCTTATGAATGTATTGATTGTGAAATTGAGTCAAGAGTTGTGTTTGATGTGCATGAATATTAACACCAGCTCTGTTCCAAAACCTAATGAGCTGCCCACCTAGGCATCTATTTTAGTCATCATAGGCGCTCTCCCAACACAAAGACTCCTCCAAACAATAGGAAACAGATTTATTCTGGCCTTATGAGATAGCTTTGGAAAAATAAAATTAAGGACTTCCCAAAATCAATTGCAATGATATAATCTGATTGCCACTTTACATTTACTAATTTCTTAGAAATTCTATCTAATTAAAATGCATCCATTCTGACAATGTCTGACAATATAGAGCACTGCAGTGATGACATATTTTTGTAGGCCAACTTGTAAGTTCGCATCACCCTGGTTCCCTCGACAATACCCCAAAAGGGTTTTTTCATTGGCTTTTGGTTTATTGCAGAAAATTAGCTCTGTGATCAACAAAAGATTCTTACAGGATAATCTTCACTAAGGAGTTTTAAAGCCTAAATACTATCGTCAGAAGTAAAAAAGCTTAAACATACACTAGCCTATATAGGAACTGTGTTATGACCTGCAAAAATGTGTTATCCGTGCAGCACTCTATTAGAGGAACTGTGAATGTTGAGTCTCTTGTGCACTTTGCTTGAGGGGTGTTTGTATGGCAATGTAAGTGATCCCTTATGAAATTTAACAGTGGTTTTACTACAAAAAAACAAGGTTTCTATAGTTAAATCATGGTAACCACAAATTAGCCATGGTTTTGCTATACACTATCATAGTTTAACCATGGTATTTGTAGTAAAACTGTGGTTATACAAATGGTAATCAATAATACACCAAAAAAAAAAAAAACATGGTTACTAAAATTTTACCATAATAAACCTATGGTTAATTTACATAAGGGATTGTTTAAAACCCCATGAAATAGTTTGCAAGTGTTTAAACCAGGAAGTTGGGACAGGACATCGGGACTTGTTGTTAGTAGCCAAAATGCTTTAGCTTTTCTATCTTCATCTAAAGCCCAATGTATACTTCAGTTTCTGTGCAAAACCTTCTAGTGTGCATGTGTTTGCGCACAGTAACAAATGGAGTATACTTTGAAAGGCTATACGCATTTGCCATTGCGCATACGCTAAGGATTTGTATTATATTATACTTTGGGCTTTAGCTGTGAACCATGATAAGCTACTCCCTCTTGCTAATCAGAAATAGATGGTTTTAAAAGGAAATACATTCTTGTTCTAGAGAGCAGTTAATTGGACAAACATTTGGATAGTGCAGGTCACTATATTTAGTCTGACTTTTTCCCTGAAGACAAAAACTACATTTTAAATGTATATCTATTCAAAGTTTGTTTTGCTAACCTTTAAGGAGTACACCAACATATACAAAGCTAAAGGTATGGTCACATTTACCATAGTTCAGCAAAGTTTTTGACTAAAAAGCACAAACTCTAATTTCATTGGTTTACAGAGCTGGTGCTCATTTACGATATTCATTTCAGTTACAATTCGTTAGCTGCTGACGACAAGGACAACAAGGCAGCTCACTAGATTTTCAAACACAGCAGGGCCACATAAAATGTAATCATTTCACTAAGATTAAAGTGTTCCCTACTTAATAGCCATCTGAATTTGAGAACTCTAAAGCCAAATGCACTGGTAAATCGTCATAAGGCTGAAACAATTACCAAAATCAAATTGCAAACATCAATGTAGGCCATACATTTAATTGAGGTGGGAATTGTGTATACGAATGCTCTTTTTTTTAGACCATCAATCTCCCGGGTTGTTTGAAAGGTTGCAGGAATGTCAGTGGAATTATGTGAATTCCCATCGCTTGACACCATCAATGCAATAAAGATCTATCCATGATCTTTATTAGAGAGCTTAGCATCAGTAGAGCCAATATTAGCCATTTTACTAATGGTGTTGACTGTGTATTGCAATGGCACAGATTCCCCTCCCCATCTACCCTCATGAGCCTTCATTCAAACATTGCAGGGACCTGCAGAGATTGAGTCATAGATGTATGCAGAGTCGTACCAAATGTAGTCACATAGATGCAGATATTGCAGCATCATTCTCTGCATGTCTGCACGGATATAGATGTAGAGGACTCATGTGTCCATGTGTGCACATAGATTTATCTTCCCCAGAGTTTAGCAGAGATGCCTGAATAGAGCTGTCAGAGTGAAAAACAGGCTCCACATGCTCAGTTATATTAAAGATACATACTGTGTGTGTGTGTGTGTGTGTGTTTGCTGGGCAAGGACACTCAATCCCCCTCCTGCTGACGTGCATGAGAAACACTCGGTGTAAAACCACCTTCACATGTCTTTGGAAAAAAATCACATCACACCCACATGAAAGCAGATTCTAGTTGTGGATGTTCAAGCAACAACGAAAATGTAACATCTATTTTGTCACCATTTTGTTTACCTTCTTGTAGCTCATCTGGTAAAGCATGACGCCAGCAACACAATGGCCATGGGTTCGAGTCCCACGTCAATTATGTCAATAATGTTATGTCAAGGTGCATTCAGACACGATCCAAACCAGCAGGATGTTATTTACCACTTAAGTCGCTGTTTTTAGTTTCGATGATGGGGGCGTGAGGGGTCCTTGCACGCTGTTAGTCATTAATGATAGAGTGGGTGCAGATTGATGGCAGGCAGTCATGTTTGTCTCTCTCTCCAGCACTCTGAAGAGCAAGGAGCTCTCTCCTGTGATTGGCCACAAGGCTGTGCAGGCATCAGGAGCAACAGTGCCCCCTGTCAGCGGTCAGCAGAGCAACAGCCAGTCTCCCCACTCTGCCGAGCACAGCCCCCACACCTTACACAAAGGTTCGTCCCACTGGGATTCCTCTTTAATTCAATCTACAGATAAAATCCTCTTTAAATCTGGTATAATGTCAGCCTTGGGCGATCAGATCACTGTATGCATCTGGTAATAACACGTTTCTGATTCTGTCAAGGTGATTTTGTGATGACATCACTTACTACATCAATATTTGCTGTGTATTGTACTGTGAAGTCTTTTGTAAAATGCTTGTTTTGCTACAGTGATTAGTGTTATGTTGGTATGCAGCTGCATTTGAAAATAAATATAGGTACAGTGACTTGAATACAGCTTAATTTCTGAATTAAAATTCATTCGATATGTTTTAGGGGACATAAATTAAAAGATCAGAATGATATAACTGTCTTGATATAATGAGGAAAAAGACTAAAATAATGCAGTTCTTGAAAAGAAAACCTTGTTAGTTTGGAAAGATCGTATTTCTTAGAGCAAGAATATTTGAACAAAACTGTTTGTTTACATGAAGGAAAATTATTTAAGATATTAAGTCTTGATTTCTGAAAAATGTATCAACATTAAGTACATTCATGCTTAAAACAAAGTTTTGAAAACAAGTTTTGAAACTGAATTCAAAGAGAAAACACGTTTATTTTTCTTAACCTGATGACAGACATTTTTCATGTTTTATGCATAAGCTCAAATACTTCAAATATTTTTCAGAAAATACTTCAAATCTAAAGTCACATTGAATAATTGATTGATTGATTGACTGGTTGATTGCAGTGTTCAGGTTGTAAAATGTCATTTGATGCAACTCCCCCAAAACTTAATGATATTCATAAAATAATAATTAAATTAATATTTAAAAAAAAAATACTTCCTACTTTTGAAGGGTATATTTAAAAACATTAAAAATAATAATAAGAAAATGATTAAGATGTGTACACTGACATGCTTTCAAGGTATAAGGAAAATATTATTACATTTATTTTTACTTCGGAATCATTAAATGTAAAGAAATTCCTAAGATCCATTGTGCCCAATTTTCACCTTGAAGCACTTTGAATCTGTGATCTGCTCACCCAAAACAAATGTTAATACCAGGTGTAAACAGAATCGTAGAGTAAAGTTTATTTGAATGCATATTTTATTTTGTCTTATCTCTCTCTCTCCTTACAGCCTCTAAGAAACTGGCCCCTGTGCCACCCAAGGTTCCCTACGGCCAGTCGGGGGGGATGTCAGACCAATCCACAGGTCAGCCGTCTCCGGTTAGCCTGTCCCCCACTCCCCCAAGTACTCCCTCCCCATATGGTTTGGGCTGTCCCCCTGGACACGCGCCCACCTCTTCCCCTGGCCAGACCCCATTAGGGGGACCCTATACGTTGTCCTCGCCGCCCTCTCTGACTGGTACGCTCACAAAATCCCGACCCACCCCAAAGCCCAGGCAGAGACCCAGTCTACCCCCTCCCCAGCCACCCACCGTCCCCTCTACAGCCCCCCAGCCCCTGGAGCAGGGTCTACTTGACGGATTGTCCCCCGGGGAGAGCATGTCCACAGGTAAACATGCCTCAGTGGCAACATCACAAGTGGGAGTCCAGCGTCCCTCTCTCAAACTGTCTGTCTCTCCGTCCTACGCAGGCGATGGACTTTAAGGAGCCAGATCCCCTTATGAAATGTGAAGACATTTGTCTTAAATATGGAGTGCCCATAGATTCAGTTGCCTTTGAGATGTATAGTATGATAATTATTTTTGAACCCCTAGGATTATATTTTAGCTCAAGGATTTTAAGAAAAAATGGAAACAAAGGGAATTCACTTTAAGCTCAAGGACATACTGTATATATTTTACTACAAAATGAAGTGTGTAATTCTTGCACCACCAGTGGAATTGTAAAAATAATGACTTTCCATACAGAGTTTCCACAGACTCTTCTGATCCACCACAAACAGGTAGTCTTGCACAAATTTCATGCCAATGCTTGAGACAGAAGTTGTTGGACATGTCGGACCACTCAAACAAAGCAAGCAGTGTTTTAAAAGCACCACTGTGTTTACATTCTTTGGGGTGTAAAAAAAAAAAAAAAAGAGTAAAAATTGGCAAGTACTTGCTGAAAATCTTCGACTCCAATTAAATCTTCAACTAGCTTTACATTCAACTTTCAGGTATTGAAGGTGCGGTCATATTTACCATGGTTTAGCGAATTTTTTTAGATGAAATCCAGTCATTTCAACAAGAATCCAAGTGATCAGGAATCACACGTGAGGGTGAACTGTTTCCCCAAGCACAAATTTCATAGGAAACACAAATTGTTTGCATGGAAAGAATTGTCAGGAACTTGCTGAAAATCAACTCCAAGTTGATTGATTAGCTTTACTTTCAACTTTTAGGGGTACAGGTGCAGTCACATTTACCATTGTTCAGCGAATTTTCACGGGTCCAGTCGTTTCAATAGGAATCCATGCGATAAGGAATATCCAGGCTAGAGATATCCAGATGCAGATTTCGCAAAGGATTTAAATTGGTCACATGGGAAAAAAATTGTCAAGCACTTGCTGAAAATCGTCAACTTCAAATTTATGGGTAGCTTTGCTTTCAACTTTCAGAAGTACGTGTATCCACATTTCAGGAATTACACATGAGGTTGAAAGATTTTCCCACACAGATTTCGTAAGAGTTTCAAATTTGTCACTGAAAAATTTGGCAAGCGCTTGCCAAAAATCACCAAATCCAATTGATTTGCTAACTTTACATTCAACTCTCAGGACTGAAAGTGCAGTCACATTTACCACCAAGTTTTCTCATAAAGTTGCCTCTAAACAACAAAATACAAACAAATTGAACTTTAACAATTTGTTAACAGGTGGTCACGTTACCGTCTGCTATGTTGACCAGACTTTATGCCGCAAGTCAAAAGTCTGGCTACATGAGACTGACCTAGAAAGAAGCATTTTAACATGCATAGAATTACACACTTCACCTTTGAAGTTCAGGATGAGCCCTATAGTTATCTTCTCAGCTTTAGTGTGAGACTGTTTCTCTAAAGTAAGGTTCTGTGGTCTTTGTATCATTCGAGTGGCCCGCTGTATGGCACTGATTGTATGTTCTCTCATGTGAGGCATGTCTGTCAGTCATTCTCCTGAGCACTGATTGATGTATGACTCTTTTATCCCCTGTCATCATTGTGCACCTTGCAGCTGTGTGAGGCCAGGGACTGAGTGTGGGCTGAGTGTGAGGGGGACATTTAGGGTAAGCCAGAACCTGCTGTGCCCGTGCCATAGCCTCATCTCACACCGTCTGGCCTGGTGCTGTGGCTGAATCTGGGGCCTCTACAGCAGCCTTGCTCTCTGTCTCATACCGTAACACTTCCTTCTGCGGCTTTGTTATTCTCTCCCAGTCGTGGGGCTGTCCTTGGCTTCTTCATTCTGTCAGTGTAGTCTGTGCATGGTGTGAGACTGGTCTATGCATGGCTTACGGCCTTACTTTTCCGAGCAACATCACACATTTGCCAACGTTGTCGCTTATGAAGTCCATCTCAACGCCTCCGGCCCTGACCTCACATCGTGATCCATTCCCCCACCCAATATCCCCACCACCACATAGGTACCCAGGTAAACCCCAACCAAACTCTCTTTGAGTCGAGTCCATCGCAGGATGACAGTACAACTCTCCGCCCCCCACAGTCGTGACTACACCATCTCGCGTCCATCTCATTCTTACACAGGGGAGGTCATCACAATCAGATACAGTCCACCAATCCACATAGTCCACTGACAAGTTTCTTAATGTTACCACATTTTCAATTTGCACCCATCTTGTTGTCTATGTGTGGAGTATTTTGTTCATTGTGGTCAGTGTTGGGGGTAACGCGTTACAAGTAACATAACGTTATGCGTGCATATTTCTTGTCGAGTATCAAGTAAAGTAACATGTTACTTTTAACATTTATACTGCAGTACTTTTTCAAACATGGAACATGTAACAGGTTTAGTGTTGTTTGGCAAACATTACGTAAACACGTAATGGTAAACCGCACATAAGTAACAATGGTAACAGCACATAAGTAACACGTAACTTTAACAGAGCATAAGTAACACAATGGTAACCGCGCATAGGTAACACGTAACGTTAACAGAGCATAAGTAACACAATGGTAACAGTGCGTAAGTAACACATAATGGTAATGGCACATAAGTAACACATTATTATTAAGTAATGTTACTTTTCTGTTAATTATTTGATACAATTGGAAACGTCCAATTATAAGTAACTTACGTATAGTGTCTTCACATGGTTAAATTGTTGCGGATAAATAGCATACTAAAGCCACCTTAAAATCTGTAGCAAGCATGTTACAAACAGACACATGTGTAATGCATTGTTTCCAGAAATTGTAATTCCGATGTAAAAACACTTATGCAGTCTTTGTGTGACATTTAAACAATCATAAATGTGGTTTCATGCTATATTTGTTGTTGTGGGCAAATCATGTTGGGGACAAATACTTTTAACAGCAAAATTACCTAAAAATGTCTACAAGCCAAGCAGGAAACCACCATTCTAGAAGAGCCTTGGCTAATTGACGCCTGTACAAAATAACACAAAAATATCACGTTACTTTTCATAAAAGGTAACAATGTAATCGAATTAGCTACTAGTGCATGTAACGCGTTACTATTTAAAGTAACATTCCCCAGCACTGATTGTGGTGAACTGTTAATTCTATTGTTGTTACTTTCTGAAAAACTGCAAAAAGCTTTTATGTAGTACTTTATATTTTATATGAGCATAGCAGAGATTTTGCACTGAGGCAGGACAGGTTTAATTTCAAATGAAACAGATGTTTCACCTTCCTTCCCAATGGCTCAGTGTAACAGAATCCCTGTGCAGAATGCCAGGAAACAGTCTGATGTGCCCCTCTCCTGCTGCAACACACATTAAACACCCTTCGCTGACTTCGCCTCTAACAGTGGTCTGGGAACTGAATTTGCTTTTTTGCTCTCTCTCTCTCCTTGTGTCGTTTTCAACATCCTCATCATCGCCATTTCCATCATTTCTCTCTGTACTGTAAACTTGTCTTGTCGCTTCACTTTCGTGGCCATCGCTCTCATTTGCATGATCCTATAGCAGATTTCTTCAGTTTGGAAATTCCCTCCATCAATGTCAATCTGGACAGCCTGTTGGACGAGTTCAGGGTGCTCCCATGTCGGAGCTCCTTTGCTGCGGTCAGGTCTCCGGAGGGGGAGTCCGTGTCCGAGGAGGAGGGCCAAAGCACCACGCTATGACCCCTGAGCCCACCCAGCAGCATGCCAGCTTCGCCCAGAACCCGTCCACTCCTGCTGAGGCCCAACTGGAACCCCACCTTGGCCAAACCCTCAGTCACGGATACTTCATGAGAGACTCGATAAGACGCCAACCACACAACAGGTGCCATAAAAAAAAAGCAACAGAATGGATTTCATTCAAATTGCCACTGGAGGAACCTGGAGTTTTGTGTTCCGATTCCTGTTTCTCTCTGAACGATTCTGTCTGTTTCATTTTGTTGTCGTGTTATTGGTTTCGTTTGATTGGGATGTTTTTATTTCTGCCTTATCAGAGCTGCAATTATAATACAATGCACATAGGGAGCAGTCTGCTGACTTTAAAGGAACCTCATACACTTTGTCTTGCTAGAGACTTTGAACTGAGACACACCCTCATGGTATGAGAGTAGGCCGTCTTTGTTTTCCCTACAGGGTCCATGCTATGCTCTTTATAGATGACTTGGTGGCATATAGCATGTTTAAGTCTAATTTTGCAATGCTGAGGTCTTTCTTTCTTTCTTTCTTTCTTTCTTTCTTTCTTTCTTTCTCAATCTCTCTAACCTACACTAATCACTGCTTTAGCAATCCAATTCAGTTGACCTTTCGCTAAGTCCTGCCTTAAAGTGCTACTGACCAATCTGGGCTTAGCAACTGTTGCTGCCCATTATATTATCAGACAAGTGCGCATTTCTAAAGTAGATCTATGGACAGACTGTGTGTTTAAATAATTTTGTAAAATTACATTTAAAACTATCAAAGAATACATTAAACTCTTGTTGCCTATGGCTCAGACAGTAGAGCACAGCTCTATCGATGCTGAGGTCATGGGTTCGATTCCCAGGGAGAGCAAGAACTGATAAAATGTTAATATGTACCTTCCCAGCAGGCACATATTTGGTTACATTTCGGTTGCAATGTCAGGTGACAAATTCAGTGTCAATTGGACGTCTAATGTCAATGTTAATTTGATATCAAATACTGACGTCACCCTGATTTTTATTCTCAACCAAAACGGAACGTCAACCTGATGTTATATTGACGTCCTGTGCCTGCTGGGCTGAATACAAGTTGCTTTGGATAAAAGTGTCTGCCAAAATTAATAAATATAAAAGTAAATATTGCCTCACAACAGAGAGATCAAATTTTCCCCCCTTTTCCAAATCTTAGAAGTTGGGAATCGCATGAGGTGAATTGAATAATGTGTCCTGAACATGGAGAATGGTAAACTGAAATGTCCAATTCATTCCTGCGGTGGATTCAGTCAAGTTTGTCTGAGTCGGCAACAGAAACGGAGGGGGTGGGGCTTAGCAGGGAGTCAATCAATTTCTGTAACATTTTGATAGATATGTGCGTTTATCTGTGGCAGAACATTATCAGAACTTCCTGAAACGCACATAATACAGTAACACAGTGACAACTGCTGCAGTAAAGTGTATTTTCTTAAAGAGCCAATACAATATAATGCAGTACATGGAAGCAAGGTAAGAAATCCAGGGTTCCCACAGTCATGGAAACTATCGGTATTTTAATAGCGTCATCGAAAATTTTAAAATCCCTCTAAAAATCATGTAATTTTCTATAGTCTGTATATTTGTTTCTGTTCTGAAGTGTTTCTTTTTTTTTTGTGAGAGTTTGCGATCTCTATAAAATTCTATTTCAAAATCCTTATCCTGGAAATCTGTTCATGAAAATTCATCGGTCAGAAGGTGTGGGAACCCTGGAAATCTCAATCCCTCACCCCTTTACCTGCAAAACAGAAACATTGCTTGTGCAAAAATGGGTCACTGCAAACACTTTCCTGCAAATGTTTCATAATGTTTACTACTGAGATTAACTACTGGTTCTGTTCCAATGCACTGCCTTGCATTTTCCGTTGTCTTTCCGCACCCATATGCCCTCCAAAGTGCTTCAAACGCAGTGCCACACTATCCCTTCTGTATATTCCAATACTGTATATAAAGATGTGTAGATAAGTGTCAACGAGAGGACAAATGTAAAGGCAAATATGAATTATATATTCATAAATGTGACATGCCATATTTATCTTGTATAGAAATAATGTTCTAAGTATTATTTTGTCCCTGAACACTTTTTGTCAGGTTCACATAGCAAGCGAGTTTTTTGCACTTTTGTAAGCCATGAACTAGATGTAGAAATATGAATGCAGACGTGGTAGAAGTATAGGTAGAGTTACTCCCAAGAGAGATTTTATCCCTAAACCGACCTCATCAATAACAGCCTTAATCAACAGCATAAATCAACTGTATAGCTACTTACTATTATTAGAAAATATATGAAGTCGACAGATTACAATAATCGTATAACATCGGTTCAGTTATACTATTGTATAAAAACTGGTAGATTATATCAATGAAAATACAATGGCCCTAAAACAGTTTTGATGCATGGAATCTGCAAAATAATGATATTAGATCTTCTCTAGCGATTTCGTCCAATTACTTTGTCAACTGGTATCGCTTTTAGTGGATGCATGAGGTTATTTCCTCACTGATGTCATTCATCACATGAACTGTGTCCACATACTTTTTAAGGCCACTGTATAGCATATCTCGCCATAGGATCAATGGAAAAATACCGATTTTATAACTTGGAAGGGATCATTTCGAAATCATCTCAAAGATATTTTAGGCCCTAAAGATCCTTCAAAGTCTCATTGCTTTTCCCCAGACACATAATCTGATGCCACACTGAGATGGCACATTTGTTTCATGGGTATACAACACCACGAGACTACTGGATGCTGCAGTTTCTCTTGTCTGAACTTGTACAAAAAGCGCAAGACTTTATTAAGGTCAAACAAACATTAGCTCACTTCTGTCCCGTGGAAGGAATGGGCACAGCGAACCGTCTCCGTTCTCATACGAAGGACTCTACTTCCAACGATGGATAGCCATGGCTTGTATTTCTCTCTTTGACTAAGCATTAGTGTATGTCAGGGACAAAAGGCCTTTTGTTTTTTTTTTGCTAAAATCTGTGATATGCCTCAGTGTGTGTTCTTGATGAAATATAGTCTAATGATTATTGGTGACTGAGTTGTAGTTGTAGTGATTACACAATGATAATTGCAAGTGCCCTCACATTCAGTATTTATAAACTGAAGCTACCGGCAAGTTTCGTGCGTTCGTGAGGTTCTGTCTGTGCGGTGTTCTGTGAGGAGGCAGTCGTGTCCGTTTGAGTGTGCTGACTGAATGTGATTTCGCCTTTACTTGGAAGTGCACTAAAGTAAAGGCCTTATAGCAGCTGCAATAGACGCATGGTTTATTTTCTTTATGCTCATCTCTCGCCGTTAGAGCTCATAATGAATGCTAATGTTGTTGTTAATGAAGACAGTATGTACATGCATTCTCATTCTTGTTCAATACTGCATCTGTTATCCCATGCTTTTCTAAGGGGAAAAGGCACAGGTATATGTGATTTGTAAATGAAGGTTATTAGAATCACGTCTTAATTTACACGTGACAATGTTTAACAGTTATACCCAGTATGTTTAAGAAATTGTTCAAAACAGAAAGATGTAATAGCCATGATGGAACTTTTTAAACCTGGTGAATTGTGCATACGTAATTTTAACTGATAATTTGACCCACACAGAATCTGCACAGGTCACGTTTCACCCCAAAATCAAAAGAAACAATTAAGAAATTATACTTTATTTAAAGGGGTCATATGATGCTGCTAAAAAGAACATTATTTTGTGTATTTGGTGTAATGAAATGTGTTTATGCGGTTTAAGGTTCAAAAAACACATTATTTTCCACATACTGTACGTTATAGTTTCTCCTCTATGCCCGCCTTTCTGAAACGCATTGATGTTTACAAAGCTCATCGGTCTGAAAAGCAAGGTGTGCTCTGATTGGCCAGCTATCCAGTGCGTTGTGATTGGCCGAATACCTCAAGCGTGTAACAAGGAATGACAAACAACAAGCGCTACTCTACACTGCTCAAAACTCGTTTGAATCGTCAGTGGCAAATTCTTTAAATATAAAAAACTTACTTACAGGCTGTGAGTCAGAACAGCCGCATTGTAGTCTACTCTAGCGGGATCAGAAAACAGTCCTCCATAAAATGCGCTGGACACATCGGAATATTTGGGTTGTACAACATGGCCGCGGCGGCAACAGCGCAAATAAAAGTTACGCCTTCTTTCTTTGAGTGAATATTTGGGCGGCGTTATGCAAATCTTCCCACATAGTGATGTAGGTATGTGGGGGCGTTAGAACGAGCCGTTTTAGGTAGGTGTGGTTGACTCTTAAATTTATAAAGAATATCTCTTTGGATTTGAGACTTTAGTCTTTGCAACTTTACAGATCTTCTTTATGCACCAAGAGCTTGTAACACTCCAAAGAAAAAGGAAAAATTGAAATCGCATCATATGACCCCTTTAAAGAACAAGAAGCTTGTGTTAGTTTAAACTATTAAATCAAAGGATTTTCATGATGATTAAGCACAATATCATTCCCCAATGTCATTAATACAATTAAAAAGAAAATCTGTAATATATTTAAATTGTGCTTGTACTATCATAATAGTATGTGTTTTATGTTAAAAAAAAAATTTGTATAACAGTCCTTTTTAATGTAATGCCAAAATGAAAAAAATATATAAATCTTATAATTTTTATTTTATATGATTTTTTTGTTTTTTTGATTTTGGAGGGAAATGCCCTGACCTGGACCTGTTGTTGTGATGCTTTTCACTGCATTGTATGCACTGAAATCATGGGAAATCAGTACAGAATCTAAATTGAATTAAATTTAAATGTGCGTGTTAAATTCCTATTGAGCACTGTAAGCATTATCATACAAGTCAAAATTTGTTAAACCAACATAAAGGGCAGAAATCTGCAAAGATATTTGCAGGCACAGATTCCATCTACTGATGAGTCAAACAGATTTGATTTCAAAATTTCTCTTATTACTTGCTTGAACCAAGAAAACGATGCAATTATAGTACAAATGTTCTTTTCAAAATGGGATTTGTAAAATAATCATCTAATGCACCTATTACAAGGACATAATTTGTACTGATACCTTTATTTCTTAATTTATCTGACATTTTCAGCATGAAATGATATGTTCAAAAAGAACTAATGATACAAAGAAGCCACAAAGTTATAACAGTGACAAACTGAACTGAAGATTTCTCAGCTTTTTCTCAGTCATCTGTTTTGAACATTTAGGTTACTATATCACCCATTTACATCATCCTGTGAAAACCAGCAATCTGGAGTGACAGAGCATGCTTTTAATCATTCCCTTTAGATAATCACACGTGTGTTCATTAAAACAATACCAGATAATAAAGGGAGTCAACGATGAACCAGGGATGTGTGAACAGGTGATTCAAAGGTGATAAGTTGATCAGTGCACATTGTCCAACAATGTACAGCCCTCTTCACCCCCCGCTTACCGAACTAATGTACAAATCTGCCTGTAAATCACCCTCCTCAGCTTAGCATATCAGTGGAAGAACACAGTCTACTGTGAAGCCTGCCGCAGTCCTTATCAGAATGTCAGAAATACATAGATATATATTAAACTCTACATTTGTAATACTTTTGGTCTAAGTGCTTTGTTTTCTTGTGTATTATTCACCTCAAACTGCTGTAATAACAATGTCTACATCCTGAAATGATGTAAGGGGAGACAGGATATTGATCATCATTTATGTTTTTAGAAAAGAAAAAAAAAGTGAAAAGCTAGATATTTGAAACTGAAGTCTGGTGATTATCTCAATATAAACTCAAACATTTCAAATGATGTTGCTATAAGAAAAATTATCCACATTAATTTTATAGCTTTATATTGTATGTCAGCAAAAGACTGAATACTGTATACGTAAAAGTCAGATATTTTATTATGAAGTTGTTTTTTTGTTTTCAAATACTTCCAAAACCAAATGATCTGGGCTATGTAATTCATATTCATTTTATAGCTCTATACTCTTAATGTGCGGTCACATTAGCGCCATTTCTGTGAAATTTTGCAGGCAAAACGCTCAGACAGAAGTCACTTAAACTAAGCAGCTTTCTGTTGGTCAATGCTATGAATCAGCACGATCAACTTCAAACCCTTGTGGAATTTGCGAAATTTTCACCCTCGCATAAAATTCACAATCATGTAGATTCCTATGGACCCTTTTCACATTTCTGGGGTTCTATAGTTGCGTTAACTTTGATAGTGGTGAACCAAAACTACAATTAAAGCAATAATCCCCAAGAAGCCGTGGTTTACAGTGAATTTATAACAGCTAAGGGGCATTGTTAGGTACGACGCAAAGCGTCGTGCCTACAACCCCCTTAGCTGTTATAAATTCACTGTAAACCATGGCTTCACGGGGCTTATTGCTTTTCTAAAACGGTTATTCCATATACGCAGTAAGGTTTCACAAAATAAAACAGAGCAAATAATGTGTAATGATATAAATAAAAAACATTATTCTTCTGCCAAAGAATGTAGTTCCTCAGAAACAGTTGTGGTTCCAACAAAGTGGTTGCCGAGCAACACACAAATGTAAACAAAGGTGTATGTTTGTAGTGTAATTTATAACAGCTTCGAACTTGGATCAACTAATCAGAATTAAGGACCGGAACTATCCGTTTTATAAAGTATATTTATTTAGTGCTGTCAAACAATTAATCGCGATTAATCGCATCCAAAATAAACGTTTTTGTTTGCATAATATATGTGCGTGTACTGTGTTTATTTATTATGTATATATAAATACACACATGCATGTATATATTTCAGAAAAATATGTTCTGTTTATATATTAAATATATTTATATAAAATATAATAATATAAATGTATATGTACATGTAAATATTTTCAAAATATATACTGTATGTGTGTGAATTTATATATACATAATAAACACAGTACACATACATGTAAACAAAAACTTATATTTTGGATGCGATTCATCGCGATTAATCGTTTGACAGCACTATTTTTTTTGCTTTTCCATTTGCTCTAATATCAAATGGGGGGACAAAATAATTTCAATTTTTTTTTTTTTTTAGAGATTGTCAAATTTTCGATCACTCCCTCAGCTGATAGCTATATTAGAAACCCTCGATAACTAATTTTCTGTAATTTAATGGCAAGGTAGTTTAACACAAAATATAGTGTTTTAAATGTAGCTACATTCTCTTTTTTTATAAAAAAAAAATAGTTGCACGCTTTTAACGATGGAAACGCGTCATCGCAGTCAGTGAAAAGGGTCCATTGAAATGACTGCCTGATGTCAACTCACGAACAGCTCCAAATGACTGCACCTTTACAGTATAGGCTACGTCTCATTGGCGTGTATTTTTGACTGAAAAAAAAAAACATTTGGTTACAAACTGATACTTCAAACTGAGCAATCCATTAACATCACTTGAGCAACCTCTGAGCAATCTGGGAGAAGACACATGGGTCAGCGGGGTGAACTAGTACAAACATGTACACACATGATTCTGAAGTGCATTGCGATAGCATTGCTGTACAGGTACGTCACAGAAACACCCTCCAATCAAGTAATGACTGTCAACTTGTGCAGAATGTGAGGTATTAGTCATTTTCAGGGCTGGAACTAGCTAAAGACGTTTGCTAGCCCGTGTGACAAGAATTTCTGGACAGGCGAGGGTGTGTTTCATTCCTTCCAGGTAATGCGAGCCGCAGAGAAAAGCTCAAGCCTCATCACACCCTTCCCCGTCCTCCATTCTCAAACTTGCTGTGTCCATGGTAGCTGTAACTGAATCCCACCTTGTTTCTACAAGATCAAGTGACAACCAGACGACCAGCTCATCTTTTCTTCTTCACGTTTAAATGACCCAGTCTCCTTACAGTAACTTGCAGCTTCCAGAACAAAACCTTTGTTTATCTGTGGAGTAACACTATATATTTGACTGTTTTGTAAGGAAACCACCTCCGTATGCCTCCCCTCAAGACGTTCACAAGACATGCCAGAGCAAGCCTTGGAAAAGAAAATAACCGTCTGTTTTTCATAAAACATTCATTGTGTCTTGTGAAACCATCTCGTTTTCAGTAACACATGGCTCAATAATGATATTCACTGCTCTTAAAGTGACTTATCTTACATGAGGGACCACATACAAGCACTTCTGGACACTTTAAGCCAACAAAACCCATGGAAGTGTGGCAGCCACCAGAGCCAGTAAGGTGAAAGTGATCATTAGGATCAGAAGGCAGCAGGAGATGGTGCAAAGCCTCTGTCCATTGCTGCTGTAGTCCTGCTGCATGGCTGAAGTTGTCCCAATGTCAATAACATCACCCTCTGTCATGGGTCGACCCAACTCACTGATGATAAACACTTCTGAAGCGTCTTTAGGACAGACGAGTCTTCGTCTACATAGTCTACATGAAATACTCCTCAGACACCTGCAGATACAGCCAAGACCTCCAGTGTGAGACCCAACAGGGAATACAGGAGCGGGCAGAGATGATACTTCCAGTGTCTTTCCGATCCGTTTGGCTTCAAGCGTTGAGACTGTGAATCCGCGGAGCTTTGTGATGAATGTCAGGTGTCTGCAGATGGGGCAGATGATATTATCCCGTTTCATGGATCCGTTCAGGCTGGTGTTCAGCAGAGTTCGTACTAAGCAGTCATGGCAGAAGTGATGCCCGCAGCTGAGCGTCCTGGTGCTGTCCGAAAGACTCTCGTAACACACCGGACACTCGCTGTCCTGAGCCTCCTCATCCATGTCTCTCCGGTTTAAAAACTCCACCTGGATCCCCTCGACTGGTAAACAGCAGCCCGCGGGTACATGCAACGCACACTGGCGCAGGGAACTGATACTCCTGTAAGATAACACGCGGACACCGTGGCGACACAGCCGCTGTCACGCCAGGAATGTTGAAAAACTAGATCTGCTGTTAACTAGAAAGAAGAAGAAACTAGAACCAGTTCAATGTAAACAGTGCAGTTTATGTATTTAGTGTCGTTTGTTAGGTGTTCTATTCGGTTTTTTTTTGTTGAGCCTAACATTTAGATGTAGCCTGTTATAATAATAATAATAATTATTATTATTATTATTATACATTAATTTATATAATTTGTTATTATTAACAATAATAATAAATTCTAGTTATTTATTATTTACTTATTATTACAACAACAATAATATTAATACATTATTATTATTATTATTATTACGTGAAAATATAGCCTATGGAAATTATATGGAAATATTTATAGATAAAATAATCATTAGTAGTAGTAGTAGCCTAGTAATAGTAGTATAGAAATATTTATAAAGACAAATGAAAATGAAATGCATACAAAATTAACATTTCATTGTTTTATTAAATATTTTCAATTAGTATTATTATTATTATTAGTAGTAGTAGTAGTAGTAGTAGTAGTAGTAGTATATAGGAAACATTTATAGAGAGAAATTAAAACGATTAAAATAGAATAAATGCACCAAAATAAAACCAAATATAACAATAGTCACACAAAGACCTGTTTGAAAAAAAAAGTAAAAAATAAAAATGTAAAAATAAAATTACAGTTTAAAAGAACACTTAATAGTTCCAAATGCTGTTTTATTATATATAACGATTTAGATAAAATCTACATTTAATAGATATACAGTCAAACCAAAAATTATTAAATTCAACTTTTTATTTATTTATTTTCTCTAGTGGGTGCAGGACACTATAGTTCATTTAGGTAAGTGAGGATAGCGACATATTATACCCCAAAATTAATCATACAGTGGACTACCAGTAAAACTGATAAAAATTTGGAACCAAAAATTTGATTTGACACTTTGACCTGACCATGTTTTGTTACATAAGGCCTACCTTTCTATCAAAGTTATCTGACATTATCAAGATGAATTTGTTCTTGTCTTATATTAATATAATAGACTGTGATAATCTGAGACATTTTGAAGGTCTCTGAATAAAGTTTGACTGTAATTCATTTGTGATTATCAAGATGAATTTGTTCTGACACAGTTTAACTCTGAGTTCTTGTCACATTCTGTTAGCATTTTCTAACTATAGCGAATAAACTGTGATAATGCGAGAAATGTTGAAGGTGTCTGAATAATTTTTGGTTTGACTGTAGGCTATATAAAATTTTTGTATTATTATTATAGGCTACTGGAGTCCTAACGCGCCATCTTGTGGTGTAATATTTGGTCAATTGTAAAATGAAACACGAATCACTGATTATTCCCCGCTTTATTACACACCAATACCCGCATATCGTGTCAGATGGAGAACCATAAGAGAACCATTGCTATGCTTCATAAACGAGAACGTGCTTTGCGTGCGTTTCATTCACTGACGTTAGCATGACGCAATGACGCGGTGGCGTCGTCTTCCCGGAAGCTGAAGGGGAAATCAGCGGAGTCGCGTTGGCGTTTCTCTCAGCTGACGCTCGAGCGCAGGAGACACCGAGCCTGGTCGCCGACTCCAGGAACAGGACATGATAAGGTAAACATTTCATGACATTTTTTATTTAATCCGTGCTTATTATAAACGGCGTGTTCGATGGGACGGTAATGAAATGCAAGGCTTTATCATTTAAACAGACTGTTCTCTTAAGCTGTCATTTTCTGGCCAGTGAAGACCAGCAGTTGCGGGAACCTGGTTTTTCATGTGCCGGTTTCTTCTGGCGTACAGCCAAAAACGCCTTTGATCGACCGATATATCGCTGAGAGTTTAAACCGCAGGTGATTGAGTTTTGATGGTAGTTATTTCAATGATATAGACCCGTTGTTGACTTTCATTTGTAACGTTAAATGTTGGTGACATCCGCTGGCCTCCCGGGAGAAACGTCAATCTGAAATACGTTATTTACATGCGGATTTATTCGGTAACGAATCGCTTTGCTCTCGCTTTCAGTGAACTGTTTTGCTAGTTAAGTATTAAATTTCATCCTCATGATTTTTATTTTATTGTATTTATTTCTTTGTTTAATTGAATGATGACCGCTAGTCGTCTGCTGGTTTGGTCACCTTAGCATTTGTTTGCTAAGTCATGTACATCTCTACAAAGATATTTATTATAAGTGCATGAACAACCTTTTTGTATTATCCACTGTTTACTTTATGTGATTAAGTTCTTTCATCTGTTGTCAGTTATCTTGCGCTATAACATTAATTATTACAATATATAAATGATAAATACTAACGTTATGTCTTGCACATTTATACAGAAATAAATTGCAAGTTAAATGACAACAACTATGTATTCTGTTTACATTTTGTGACATTAGTTTGTGGTCCGATGCCATTTCTTTCTTGTCATACGAAAAGATATTATAAATAAAAACACTTCTTGGCATGAAGCTGACTGTAAATATAACTATATGGACACTACTTGCAAGCAGGTCCGATAACTCAATGGTAGCACAGATCTCATCCCCTAATCTTTGCGGGTATATCACATGTTTGTAGTGTATTACTCAGCAGGACGGTGTGTGCTGGATTGTGATTTTGGAAATCATGTCATCCTTGGAAACAAAAATCTGGCCTTTCCTCTGAACCCCTGACTGTGCGTATTACTGGCAAAGAGTGTAGGTTGCGGCTAAGCATTGCGTTAGACAGGAACCGTCCCACTGTCCTGTGGTGCGGGACAGGCGCTCTGTGGCCGGACAGATGGCCTCACTGTCAGGAGTCAGTTTGGGAGGGGTGAGGATCTCTGCGTGGTGGCTTAAGACATTATAAATTACCACAATTGAAATGACATCAATTTTGACAGCCCTCAGGCTAAAATGCCACAATTTATTGGGTCTTTAAAGAATAGCACCTAACACGACTATTACACAACTCAAAACATGTTTCACTTATCTTTTTTCTTTTTAATTATTTGACTTTGTGCTTATGTATTACACTTATTCTCAATTAAAAATGGCATTTTAAACAAACAGACTTGACCTAATACAAAGCCAAGTTTAATATTGTGACATTCAAATCAAATAAATGACTTAAATATGTATCCTATTCATTAATAAGTATGATCACTGAAAAATCTTAATTCAAAAGTTTCAGACCTGACATAAATATGGAAATATGAAAAGCAAATGGACAATAATGAGGGTGCCTTAGGTGTTTTAGTTCTATTTTCTGTTTAAATGGGTATTTTGGTTTGGAAATCCCTCATAGTCATTTAAAGCGGCACTCTAGGAGTGCTGGGTCACAACATGTGACGCTCCTGAGAATCCGGAAAAGAATCCGGAGAATTGCAGAGATGTCTGGAATATTTCAGACTTGTTTTAGAAAGCGAACAGGTTCATCTGCTGCAGGTTGGGTTGCTGAATGAAACTGATGGCTTCGGCTTGCAGCTCCTCGTCATGTCAGATCTAATGAGTGATTGCTTACAAAAAGACCTATGATAGGAATTAATTGAGTGGAAATTTCAGAAAAACACTGGATCTCTGTGCTGCTGGTCAAACAAACGATGTCCCAACACAAGACAAGGATGAAGAATGTTAATGAGAGGTCATTTTCAGTCACACGTGCATGAGTTCTAGAGGCACAAACGTCCAAGTGTGCATAATGTTTTAAAAGGACGATATCTGTGGCCATTAATCTTATTCTGAGCCAGCTTTTATGTATGGAAGGACTACTCTGTTGTCCTTTTGTGATAAATGGCTTCACGTTTGATCTTTTAAAAGGCTTATAATCTATATAAACTGAAAAAACTGTTGTCCTTTACTTACTCCCATGCTATTCCAAATATATTATTTCTTCTGTAAAACACAAAAGGAGCTCTTACACTATGATTTAACCATAAAATGTGTTATGGAAGGGACCGTTCATCCCGAAATTATAATTATCCCTTTACTTACCCTCATGTTGTTCCAATTTCTAAAGCCATTAGACTTTCATTAATCTTCAAAACGCATTATTAATGCAGCCCAAAGTATTTCTGTCCCACCAACAAAGGCCCACGGATGCAAAATGTAGAAGCATCAAATGTAATCCATATAAATTCAGCAGTTAATTCAAAGATACTGGAGAGACACAGGTTTAATTAAATTTGTTCGTCATATAAAGCGATTGTGTCTTTTCTGAAGGCTTCGTTTAAACCGCTTATTTTTACAATATCTTTGTAAACATTTTTAAGCCTCCAAGTTTTAGTGTAATGGACTTTCAGGAGAGGGACAGAAATGTCTCCGGTTTTGTTAAAAACATCTTCATTTGTGTTTCTAAGTTGAATAAAAGTCACAGGTTTGGAACAACATGAGGCTGACTCTCGTAAATGAAGACAGCATATTAATTTCTGGGTGAACTATTTCTTTAATGCTCTTTCCTCGTAGGACTAGAATGAAATTAGTCTTGTGTAAAAATCCCCCCAAAACGAAAGCGAATGCTGCAATCTGTAAAACTGTGAGTCATGTGAGCCTGGTAGAAAGCCAAGTGAACAAAAAGTGTTATTGGATGCGTGTCAAACGAGGACACACACCATGGGCCCGCTGTTTGTGGGGTTGTACTGGGACTAAACAACCTGTACTGGGGTTGTCTCTCAGGACTGCTCTAATTCCCATCTGCTTCCACAGGTCTCCACCATGGACACAGAGATGATGATGATGCCGAAGTTCTCCTCGAAAGACGAGGAAATCGATTACTGGAAGTGCTTGTCTCTCAAATACAAGAAGAGGTAGGCCGAAGTCATTAACTACTAAATATAGCAACCAGCTGAGCTTTTTACAGCAGTGTGCAGTTTATCTTCACATAAAAGCCATGGGGAGTCAGCCGTTTATGTTCAGACAAACAATGCTGATTGGCTTTTAAAAACTTGGCCACAGTATTTTAGTTAAACTTTGGCTAGCTGAGACAATAATGGTTGTTTCTGCGTTCATACCTACAATCACAAGCCCCGTGGGTGATGAATAGCTGTAAATATGACTGCAGCACTTTTTGTCATGGAAAAACGGAGAAAATGCCACAGCACACAGAGAGCCTTTCACTGCCCTTGACAAAAGAGACCCTCTGTTAACCTGAGAAGATGCTCCATAGCTCCAGCTGTTGTGTTTAGTGTCTTGCAGTCTCTTTTATTGAAATGTGTCATGTTTGAAACCTTATGTTGTGCTGCTGGTTACATTGTAGGTAGGCTTGATGTCTTTTTAAAGTTTCAGTTGGTTTATGTGATTATTTTGTGTAGTTTCAGACCCAAAATGCTAGTATGTGAATCGTCTGCGTAACCTTCTCTATTCTAAAGCTCAGGCCATGTTTTTGACTTGACCAAAAGTGGCCTGAGAGTGTCTCTGATCTAAAACAGAACTCACACTTGGGGATGGCGCAAATGCTGACCGTGTCTCTGCTGGTGTGGTCTCTGTCTGTGAACTCCTACACACTTTCAGCACGTGCACATGCTCCTCCTGAGCTGTGGTTTTACTGCGCCAGAGCTTTGGTGGAGCACAGGAAGATCTAAAATCCCAGGAATTTCCTGCTGAGGAAGTAGCAAAACATGCTTTCCTGGAAATAGGCACACACATGAGCCCCTTCAACTCACTTGACAGAACATGAAGTCTTAAAGATGTAAGCAACCTCATTAGGAAAAGGTCAAAACATAGTTTATACATAGATGCTTTGCCATTCAAAAATTTGGAGTCGGTAAGATTTTGTTTTTGAGAAAGGCCTCTTGTGTTCACTAAGGCTGCATTTATTTGATTGAAAATACAGTAAAAAAAAACAGGAATATTGTGAAATACTATTACAATTTAAAATAGCTGTTTTCTGTTGTAAGATATTTAAAAATTTCATTCATTCCTGTGATGCAAAGCTGTATTTTCAGCATCATTACTCCAGTCTTCAGTGTCACATGATCCTTCTGAAATCATTCTAATATGCTGATTTGTTGAATAGAGGCTCCTTCAATGAATAGAGCGTCATTGTACAGCATTTATTTGAAATATAGCCATCTTTGTATCATTATAAATGTCTTTATGGTCACTTTTGATCAATTTAATGCTTCCTTTAAGATTACTTTTTTTATTTTTTATTTTTTTTGTACTGACCCCAAACTTTTGAATGGTGCTGTATCTCATTAAAAACTGTAAATGTGCTTTTGAGCAGCTTCCTGTTGTCGAGTGAGTGTTTTAATGGTTTGTGCCGAGAAGGCAGGTCCGCACATGTCTGGTATTTCAGGGAAGGAGTGATGAAGTGACAGATTTAAGGTTCCCTCTGCGCATGACAGAATGAGGCTGGGGGAAGTGACCAGGGTTAAAGAGACATGTCTAACAGAGCTTCGGAAACGCTGTCTAAAAACAACCAAGACCATGCATTCAGTCTGTTGAGCTCATTTCCTGCCACTAGACCTCACTATTCATCTCAAGCCAGCCTGTGACCCCTGACCCCTGACCTTCAAGGGCTCAAAGTGAACATTTGGCCGATCTTTTTCCATAACTTCACAATTTCTGGCCGTGATGATATTCAGAAAGTGCTGAATTCTGCTGTGTTGTTATTGTTGGACATGGTTAGGTAGCAGGGTGTGCTATTTTAAATTGGTCTTAGGACCTCCAGAGTGGCCACAGCCCTGAGTGACTGTAATTCATCATCTGCTATAGCACCAGCTGTCAAGGTCTAAATGCTTGGAGCATGTCAGCTCTTTTGTTGCAGTCTGGGTGTCAATTTGCATTGCATAGTTAATGTGATGAATCTGCCGCTGCTGTTCCAGATGGCTGGTGACGTGTGATTTTTTTTATATGTTTGTGTATCTGCAGTTATCGTGACGCTCAGGAGGAGCTGCAGGAGTTCCAGGAGGGCAGTCGAGAGCTGGAGGCCGAGCTGGAGGCTCAGCTGGGGCAGGCTGAGCACCGCATTCGAGACCTGCAGTCAGAGAACCAGAGGCTGAAGAGCGAGGTGGACACACTCAAGGTACTGTAGGACAAGAGCTGAAATGTCTTTGCTCTTTTGAAATGACACAAAGCTCCCTCCTCAGTCCACCCAGGCCATTTATGGAAATTAAAACTCTGAAAATGGGTCATTTAGAAATCGGCATTTAAATTGGGGTGAATCTCACGGTACTTCTCAAGCACATCTAAGTCATTTTTCATTCCAATATAAAAAGGAATAGAAAATTGTCATTTAAAGTCTATTTGGGATCGTCTTTGTTTCAGATAAACACTACTGTTCAAAAGTCAAATCAAATTAATACTTTTATTCAGCAAGGATGCATTAAATTGATCGAAAGTGGACATTTACAATGTTACAAAAGAATTCTGTTTCAAATGAATGCCATTCTTTTGAAAGTGTTGCTGTTTCCACAAAAAATATTAAGCAGCACAACTATTTTCAACACCGATAATAGTGTTTCTTGAGCAGCAAGTCAGCATATTAAAAGGATTTCTGAAGATCATGTGACACTGAAGATTCGAGTAATGCTTGCTGAAAATTCAGCTTTGACATCACAGGAATAAATGAAGCTTTAAAATATATATAAGTAATAAGAAACCGTTATTTCAAATTGTAATGATATTTCACAATATTACTGATTTTTATAAAAAAAAAAAAAGATCAAATTTGATAAAAACTGACCCAAACTGGTGGTGTATTTTTTTTTTAATTTTTAATTTTTGGCAATATTTTCAATGAAACGCATTTACCACCCACATTCTAATTACTGTAATGCCAAATATTTAAGCATTTAAAAATGCTTAATTTTCATGAGAATAGTGTGGCAATGTCAGAATCTTAATAGGCTTTGTTTTATATACACAAATTATATAATATATATTATTTTAGGGTATAAATTTAACATGCTGTTTGTCACAAGTATAAAAATTATACCTTATAAGGGTTAGCCAGTCATAACAGAGGTTATTTAAAGGTCCCATGGCATGAAAATGTCACTTTATGAGGTTTTTTAACATTAATATGAGTTCCCCTAGCCTGCCTATGGTCCCCCAGTGGCTAGAAATGGCGATAGGTGTAAACCGAGCCCTGGGTATCCTGCTTTGCCTTTGAGAAAATGAAAGCTCAGATGGCCCAATCTGGAAGCTTCCCTTTATGTCGTCATATGGGGAAAGGTTACATCCCCTTACTCTGCTTTGCCCGCCCAGAGAATTTGGCCCGCCCATGAGAAAATGAGCTACTACCGTGCGAGGCGAGCACAATATTTTTTTTTCCTCGAGAGACATCATGACTTGCAAACGAGCGAAGCATGGCAGTTGCCCCGCCTCTCTCCTCCTCATTAGCATTTAAAGCTACAGACACAGAAATGGCACGTCCTAAGGAAAGCTCATTGTGGGACTGGCTCGTAGTGGCTGAAATTCTGCACCAAGGCTGAATTTCGGGAAAGAGACTTCAGATACAGTACTAGGGACCACTTAGGCCTATATAAAAGCATCCAAAAAGCAGCATGTCATGGGACCTTTAAAATAGAAGCTTTACAGGTACATGGGGTCAAAGGTCATGCTTTAGGCACTAGTTCCCTGATGAGCATGAAGAATATGTAGCGGACTGCAGGGAGATAAAATGTTACAAAAGTGTACAGTTTGGCACAGCTATGGGTACAATAGCATCTAATGGCAGAGGTAGCTCCACACACCTTTAATCTGCTGATTTATCTGTAAAGCATCAGCAGTGTAGCCGCAGCATTGCCCAGTGTGAGAGCTGTCAAGGGTCTCTGTTGATCCCAAGTGTGCTGTAATTGAATGTCAGGATGAAGAGGAAGAAAATAGAAGGCTAATGGCTCAAGCAGAAAAGTTCACTTATAGCTCAGTTGTCCCTCTTAAGACCCTTACAGAAATATCTTTTTAATGGCTTGGGTTTAGGTAGACCCGGCAAAGCGACTGATTTATATTTGTGCAAGGTCTCCTCACACAAATTAAATGTGATCTCGCTGCTGTCCCAGAAAACGTGATCATTAAATGATCGCATTCTCAGAAAGACTAGCAAGACTAGTAGCCTTTGCCCACTGACCCTGCATTTGTTTTGGAGAATATGGGGCACTCATTATTTTGCCATGGCCCAAAACAATACGCTTATTTAGAAGAAAAGAAATGAGGTGAATAAAGTAGGTTACCTACAAGAAAAGGCATGTGTACTGGTATTCCTCCTTTTCTTTCTCCTCATTAAAGGGGCAGTTCAACCAAAAATGAAGTCAAATGCAGGTAAAAATATTTGCAAAAAATTGCTTTCCTCCCCTTAAAGGAGTCATATGATGCTGCTAAAAAGAACATTATTTTGTGTATTTGGTGTAATGAAATGTGTTTATGTGGTTTAAGGTTAAAAAAACACATTATTTTCCACATA